TTTTACACTCCTTTGAGGAAACCTTATTTTGGTTAGCTATATCTGTTTTTCTATATATTCTCTGGCTTTTCCTGTGGCATTCTGTAAGCGGCACTTGTTTGCATATCGCTTAAATTGCGCTCAATTGCTCTTAGCTCTTTTAATTCTTCTTGCTTTTGTGAAACCATACACTCTTTTACCCCATCGTTTTTTGCGATGAATTCAGCATATTTTTCCAACAGTTTTGCATCTAATTTATCGGTTTTTGCAAAGTGATTGCAGGCTTTTGCAAATGCATACGCCCGATTTGGGTGAGCTCTATGAACAGCTATGTTATACAACTTTATTACAAATTTCTCATAACCTCCTGTTTACACATAACTTAACAAATACGTTAGCTTGTCTACCTATTTTGCCATTCTGCTGAACGGATACATCCGAGTAGCACATTCTTTACTTTGTGGGTATACTTTTTTTGACATATGGTTATATCTTTTTTAATATAAAGGATATATACTTATGCATTATATATTTTTTTGTATGAGGAGTTATATGAAAATGAAGAGATTATGCGTTTTGGCTGTGTTGCTTACTTCATCTCTAGCAGGTGCAGCTACTAATAGTGCAAGTAAGTCAGAAGATCAGTACTATGCAGGTTTAAACTTTGGTGCTGGATGGGGTGGCGGCTTTAAAATGAAACCTAGCGTTGTTTTTGGTTATCATCATGACAAAAACTCTAAGTTTGAACTTGAGGTTCTCACTGACATAAGTGATATGTTTGGTACAGAAAAGAAAATGGGGGCTAGCTTGTTAGCCAATTATCGTTATTACCCTGACCTTGATATTGATCCCGTTAAGCTATATGTCAGCGGAGGTTTAGGAGGATACCTACAAGTAATACCTTTTGGCTTTGGTAACAAACCTGCAAGCACAGATGTTGGAGCTGCTGCAGAGGAGGTATCTGTAGTAGATAAAATACTGGGTTCTATTTCCTATAAACTGAAGGTTGGCGTTGATTATGAAATTGCTCCACAGATAGTTGGTGCAGTTGGTATTGCTGTAGGCGGGCAACTAAGTGGTATAAAAGCAAAACAAATACCAGATGCAATTCTGGAGGTAGGAATACGTTATAATTTTTAATGCTGCTACTTAGTTCATAAAGGTAGAGACAATGTTGAGGATGAAATAAACAGCATTAAAAAAATCTGGAAATATATGAGATACTTTTCGAATATGATTTTGAACGTTAACTATAGATTAGAAAAATGATAAGAAAGAGGGTAAACTCCAGTATTTGTAACCGTTCACGGATTGTGAGAATGAATAAGGAACTAGGTCCAAAGTGTGATGGTATGGATTTAGTATAAATAATTCAGGATGCTTGTGTCCACTGGTTACATATAAATTCATAAGGTTTTGAGAGTTTTGAGTCTTTTTGCGTAATATAACAAAGTTGTAAAGGTGTAACCATAATTCCTCCTTCGATGGCAATTTCTTATATATCATACCATCACACTTTGGACCTAAGCACTCCGTTCAACAAGCTAGAACTGCTATATTTGAATACATAGAAATTTTTACAAAAAACAGCGTAGGCATTCTGCTATTAATTATTGCATTCCTGAACATTGTGATTCATCATTCTTTTTGTAAAAAATTTTCTTAACTTTCTCTCCACTTTTTCTGGGTAAGGTCACAGAATTTTTTACTGGGAATTTTAATTTTGTCTTAGCAATAAATCAACTTAAGGTCATAATATCTTGACATTTATTTAATGTTGCTATATAATAGCTATGTACACTTTGTGTACTATAGCAATAAAATTACCTTGTAATAGGTGTATTGGACCCGAGGGCAGTACTCGGCGTCTCCACCATTTTTTTAATTTATATGGGGACGAATAAGGATCGACATGCATAGTAAAGATGGTAGCTTTGCTCGGTTAGACACCACCGCTAAGAGTTCATAATTTAAATGCAAACGATAATTTTGCTGCTGAAGACAATGTTGCAATAGCTGCTTAATTTAAGCACTATAACTTCATTGCTATAGGCACGGTTCAGGGAACGCCGGGTAACAGAAGTTCCCCAAAAGTTTATGTATGTGAAAGTTATATGGAGCAAACAGATTACAAAAAATTGCTTAATTCTGCCAAGTTTCAAGTTATCAAAAAGACTTTAGATGTTATATCAGGTAATGGTTTTACCCCTTACTTAGAAATATTATTTTTCACATATTTTAATGGTGTGACCATGCCAGATTGTTTAAAAAAGTCATACCCTACTCAAATGCTTATTATATTACAGCATCAATTCTATGATTTAAAAGTTTCTGAGGATAAATTTAGCGTCAGTTTGAGTTTTCAAGGAAAACAAGAGCGAATTACTATACCGTTTCTTGCTATTAGTGAGTTTCGTGATAAAATTTCAGGGGATGTTTTAATATTTAGTATCGATTCTGATAAAGAATACAAAAGTGAAAAATGTACTGAAAAATTATCAAACGGTAGTATTATATCCATAGATCAACTGCGTGATGAGTAATTTTTGTAAACAAAAAATATTAATAGAAAGAAGTGGTCTAACTTAAGTAATAGAATAGAGACCGCAGATAAATATGCTAAATCTTTATTAACGCAGATGGCAAAATTTTTCTTACATATCAGCAACTTTCTTTATTGAAAAATTCAGAAAAATGTTGTACAATTGTTACAGTAGTAGACTTTGGTAAAACTTATGGTAAGCTCAAACACTAGTATCACTTTCAGCAAAGAAACTTTAGAGTGTCTTGCTGGATTAGCTAAAGTAAGAAATAAATCCATTCAAGATCTAGCAGAAAAATTAATGCAACAAGCAATCGAATTTGAAGAGGATACAATATTAGTTGAGCGTGCTATTGAACGCGATGTTCCAGGTGCGGAAGAGGTAGATGACAGCGAAGAAATCTGGAAGTAGTCTGTACACTATCAAATATCTTAAGAGTATTCGAAAGGACATATCAGCTTTTCCAGAAACTATAAAACTAAGGATTAAAAATGCAATAAGAGGACGTATTGCAACCGATCCTATTGGTAATGGTGAACCATTACAAGGTAAATTTAAAGGACAAAGAAAACTAAGGATTTGTGACTATCGCATCATTTATCGCGTAAATACTTTAGAACGTATAGTAACTATCACTTCAATAAAACACAGAAGAGAATCTTATAAGAAGCAATAAAATGTACTATAATAGTGTATATATTTTTATACACCACTCCTTCCTCCTACCTTAGGTGCAGCTCAAAAAATGAAGTTTTTTTTGGTTCAGCAAAAATAACATTTTGAGTTTAAAAAGGCTAAATACTTGTCTTTTATATATCTTTCGTGTAATAGATATGTATGCATCCAATCATACATCTACTCAACACGTTACTTGATCTTTATAGCTTCATTCTAATATGTTGGGTTGTCTTAAACTGGCTGGTTAAACTTAATATGGTGAACATATATAATGAAACTGTCAGTAGCATAATGCACATCTTGAACCAATTGACATATCCACCACTAAAGATTATTAGAAGATATATACCACCGTTCAATGGATTAGATTTATCTATAATGATATTGCTAATAACAATTCACTTTGTAAAATATACAGTAGCTTACTACTTTAGGTAGATGTTAAAAAAATATCTAAAATCAGCAATATATCTATCCCTTTTAATATATGTATATATATCAGTTTTTAGCTACAACTATAAAGATCCTTCCTTAAACACGGCTACAAATAAGGAAGTGACAAATTTAGGTGGAATAGTAGGTTCATATTTAGCTGATATATTGGTTCAATTTCTTGGATTAACTAGTGTTACAATAGCTACAACCATAGTTTACTTGTTGATCTTCAGGCCAGCAAAAAGGCTGCTGAAAATTCTCTATTTAATATTAATTAATTTAGGGATATGTGCTATATTACCACAACTTTCGCTAGGCATCACAGCAAGGTACAGACACAGTGGAATAATAGGGAATGTACTCGTTAATAACTGCCCATTTTATGTATTTGTGATAGTAACATCAATAGGTCTTGTAGGACTAATTGGTTGGAAGAGAACAATTCACTTTCTATTCTTCTTATGTAAAAAAATAGCTTACTTATTTGTAAAGACTCTATTCTTCAGATTACGTAAAACTGCTGAATATTCAGTTGCACCATTAGTAGTGGAAGAAAAACATAGAATTAAAATTACTACTAAACAACAACCAAAAGAAAGACAGAAAAAAGCCACCGAGGAGATTTTAAGTGAGTTCAAGTTTCCAAGCATCCATTTACTTTCTAAAGCAGAGGAGTCTTTGCAGAGAAAGCAGCTGAATGAAATGGAGAGCAATAAAAATTTATCTCTGTTAGAACAAGTCCTGAGTGATTTTGGCGTGCAAGGAAAAATTATCAGTGTATGCTATGGGCCGGTTGTGACTTTATACAAACTTGAACCACAAGCTGGTACGAAATCTGCAAGAGTAATTGGCCTTGCAGATGACATTGCACGTTCGATGAGTGCACTCTCTGCACGTATTTCAATAATTCGTGGGCAAAATGCTATGGGAATAGAGTTGCCGAACAAGGAACGAGAATTCGTAATGCTGCGTGATTTGCTTGAGTCACCAGAGTACCAAAATGCAAGCTTAAATCTCCCAATTGCGCTTGGCAAAGAAATAAGCGGAAAACCAATTATTGCAGATCTAACTAAAATGCCTCACTTGCTTGTTGCTGGAACCACAGGGTCTGGTAAATCAGTTGCGATTAACACTATGATTCTTTCGCTCGTTTATCGACTCAGTCCTGATGAATGTAAGATGATAATGATTGACCCAAAAATGCTTGAGCTTTCAATATATGATGCAATACCACATCTCATAACGCCAGTAGTAACAGAGCCAAAAAAGGCTGTTATTGCTCTTAAGTGGATAGTGAAAGAAATGGAAAATCGCTATCGCATGATGTCGTATTTAAATGTACGCAATGTAATAAACTATAACCAAAAAATCACAGAAGCGATGAATAGTGGAACAGAATTGAAGCGCGTTGTGCAGATTGGCTTTAACTCAACAACAGGCAAACCTTTGTTTGAAAAAATACCAATCAAGATGGAGACATTTCCGTATATTGTAGTGATCGTGGATGAAATGGCAGATTTGATGCTTGTTGCCGGCAAAGAGATAGAGTGCTCTATTCAACGTTTAGCTCAGATGGCTCGTGCTGCAGGAATACACATCATAATGGCAACACAACGCCCATCTGTGGATGTGATCACAGGTGTGATAAAGGCGAACTTTCCAACGAGAATCAGTTTTGCTGTTACTTCTAAGATAGATAGCCGTACAATACTTGGCGAACAAGGAGCTGAACAATTGCTCGGTATGGGTGATATGCTCTATATGGCCTCTGGTGGTAAGATCATTCGAGTTCACGGCCCATTTGTAAGTGATAATGAGGTGCAAGATATAGTTGATCATCTAAAAATGCAAGGTGA